ACATAATTACATCGTAACACATGAAAAAAATAACAGAAAGAAAGTTTTTCATGATCATATGAGTTTGTCGGATAACTTACAGATACTTGATTTATTCACCGTCCATTATTCATTATGGGTCTGTATTATTTCACCGATAATTACTTCATAGGCAATTATTTCACAACAATTAATTTCCAACAAGATTTAATTTACTGATAATTAATTCACAAACAAGTTTATTTCATAGACAGTATATATTACCGACAGCTTATTTCACAGACAAATTAATTCTGGTAATTGTTGTTGGAATAAACGACACAGCTCTAAGGTTAGTGCAATTTATTAAAAAAAAAAGCTTATGAAATAAGTTGTTGGTGATTTATATTGTCTGAGAAATGAACTTGTCTGTGAATTAATCGACTGTAAATAAGTCTTGCCTGTGAATTAATCGGTAACTATAATGATTGTCGGCGAGTTTATTAGAGCCATTTCATTATTAAGTATATAGACAAAAATATATATTAATTATCGAATATTTATTTTTATTCACATTATTTTATTCACATAATTAAGAATTCATTTCATTCAAATTAATTTGCGAAGATTCTTCATTCAAATTAATTTGAGAAGATTCTAATTCGCTAAAATTATGATTGTATATTCATTAACATCGTTTTGTTTATACTAACTAAATTTAGGTTCAAGATATTTGTTTTCATGTTAATTTAGTGTATATGAGTGAAAATAAATATTTTTAATCGAATAGATTATTCAAGTTCGTGAATCTTTTCTTTCAAGTAATACTTCTCTTTTCAACCGAATTAATCTAGAAATATGAAAACCATAATCTATCTGTATTATCCAAATTATTGACATACAATATAACTTTGGTTCTGTATACATAATTATTTAAACTGGCGGCGAAGCCGCCCGCATGATCATGTCTAGTTCACAATAAATAATGAAATTTTGGCTTCGGACATCTAACAGTACCAGTTTATGATTTATTTATTTTTCCTCATGACGTTATTTTGCTGCGCTGCCCGGTGCACGATTCATATTTTGCTGTGTTCACGTGCCTGGTAAACATCGCATCTCTGATTAGTAATCTTTTCGGTCTGTTGATTGCATGTCAACTTGAATGAATTTTTTGTATTGTCTATTTTTAGTTGGTCTGATCAGCTATATGACTTTTCATCATTTGCAAATGAGCTGTCTCCTTCTCTGGCAGAAACTGCCAGCAATAGTGAGCCTATTTTGTATGTTTTTTAATTGTATAGCTAAAGTCTCTGATTGAGCAATAATAATATAAAAATTTATTTGCAGCAGTAGCATAATGCTGTACGCCTGATAGTCAATAGAAATCGAAACAAACCCATCGATTTAATCTTTATTCTCCATTACACTTTTATTCATGAAAAAGTTTATTTGACACCGGGGTCTTTGCCTTAAAAATCATGTTGTGGGTCACGTGATTTAATATGTCTCATGATTTTAAGCAAAGATTCTTCTCATTTTTGTTCAATCAGAATACCTGTTGATCTTTGTATGATATGTAGTACAATGAATTAACAAATGAAGAATTGATTTGTGTCGAAGCGAAAAATTGTATTATAAATAGATAGATTTACACGCACAGTTAAAATAATTTTCTAAATTAATATCTTAATAGCATTTATAAATTGAATAAAATAATAAAATTGTTATTTCTGATTGATGAACTATCTTAAATTATATGTAATCCCAGAATTTTCACGAGTTGAATTTGATAAATAATAAATGATAGACTTGAAAATCCGAAGTTCATGATATTTATACGTTTTGGGTTCATACATTTTTAGCCTTACCTTTTTTTTATTCAAAGTTTCACTTATTTTGTCTATTTCAAATGTATTGTTAGCAAAAATCCCAATATGTTATGTTCATGAAATTTACAGATAGATTAGTCCTACAATCAAAAATTTAGCAAATCGATCAAAGTTTAGAATCGGGATGCATCGGCGTTAGGGCAATAATAATAATAATAATAACTATTGGCATTTTTGCTTAGCACGTGGTTATTGGTTAATAGCAAAATTTGTCAATGAAAGATCTGGAAATTTGGTTAAACGACAAATCTATTCCGAATTATTATGTATCGAGTTACCTTAAGCACGGACATTTGGGCCTACCTAAGTAAAATTTTGATCATGTGTCCGGAATAAATCTGTTTGGTCAGTTATGGTTATTGTAATTTGTGTTATTATTATCTGTTGATCATTTGGATGCGCCAAGAGAAAACATAGAATTCTTAATTTTCGGAAACTCCGCTTTTAGATTATATTCTTATATGCCTTCTGAAAATGAAATTTCGGAGATTAGATTGGCCAATTTTAGGTTTTATTCATCTGTTGATCTTTTTTTTCGGTTTGTCGATTTCGTACACTTATTTTAAAAAGGAATGGTCAATGTATCAAATTAATATTGTAATTTGTACAGATAAGTATGGACGTGCATACGTACGTGCATTGTGGGCATGAAATATCTATTTTGAACCATGCTAATGTGCCATATATTACTGTATTTGGTTTAGAAATTATTGAGCATATTATGGTAAGCATTAATAGGGTTTTTTAAAATATGATATTGGTCATTCATATTAATATTATTATACTGATCTTCGGTAATCCCAATTTTGATTATTTACATGGTTTATAAATTAGTATTTAGAAAATTTTAAATTATAATTTAAATATGGTATAATAAGTATGTATACCAATTTCGAACACCTAAACAATCAAATTTGGATATAGTAGCAATCAAATTCGGACAACTATAGCAATCAAATTCGGCATTATAACAATCAAATTCGGACATAGCATTCAGACATCGTAGCAATCAAATTCGACATTCTAGCAATCAAATCCGACAACGATATCTCGTGATCTATAATCCAAATCATATGATTTGCATTCGACTCATCTTGTCAAGACGAGTAGATGATATCTAAATCACGTAATTTGGATTATTAGATCACAAAATATCGCTGTCGAATTTGATTGCTATAATGTCCACTTTGGTTGCTAATATGCCGAATTTGATTGCTATAAATGTCCGAATTTATTGCTACTATGTCCGAATCTGACTGTTACTATGTCCGAATTTGACTGCTACTATGTCCGAATTTGATTGTTACTATGTCCGAATTTGATTGTTACTATGTCCGAATTTGATTGCTACTATGTCCGAATTTGATTGTTTAGTGTCCAAAATTGGTATACCTGTAAATAAAAAATTAAAAGTAAAAAATTAAATAAATAATAAAATTGCTTTTCCGATTGATGAAATATCATGATAGGAGTAAATCATACTTCGGGCTTTCAATTTTATAATTTGGTTTACCGAAGTTGCTCTTTAAAATTCTAATATACAATTGTAGCATCTATGGCATGTAATCAATTTTCACGAGCTGAATTTGATAAATAATAAATTATAAATGATAAACTTGAAAGTGAAGCTTCAATTTCTTTCGGTAGTGCTTAAATGATTTCTATCATTTTGGATTTATACATTTAACCTATCTTTTTTTCTTTTTTTTTATCTCAGCGTGTTACTCTTTTTATTTTATTTTTATTTCTAATTAACTACCAAATTTTATACTATATACTTAATCGTTCATTCATCATTTTATCTATCAGTAGTCCGCGATTTACGGACACACAGTGCAGGCAGACTTTGATAAGTTTAATTACAAAATGACAGGATTCTACATAAATGGGAGGCTGGGTGCGAATATCTAGAAATTGCTGATACGACGACCTGCTCATTATTCCTCCGTTACTCTTATAACAAATCCTGTTCCATTATTAGTAATTACTCTCCGAATCCATGTGCTTTGTTATGAGACTCTGGGTTATTTTCTTGATTAGGTTTAATGGCTACCTGTGTCAGATTTTTCAACTATCCTGTCTTGCTCTAACCGGTGTTCTAACCGGATTGAAGTTTTGGTCTGCGAAATTAAAATACAGAAATAGAAGTACAACTCTAACGGTTTAATATTGTAAAATAAAAAAAAATTTACAAAGACAATATTGTAGCTTTATAAGTTATGATAACAGCACATGTCGTTGATTTGCGTGCACCTCAAGAGAAAGTGTATGTGAAGTACATTTATACAGAGCGTACTTATATTGACTATGATCTATAAAATGACCGAATTAGAAATTGCTCACAATTTTAAAAAATTGGCTGATTATATATATATAAAGGCAGTCAGGTTATCAGTAACTTCATTCAACGCCGCTAATTAATTAATTAGCCTAATTTAAAAAAGACCTCAGACTGAAATATGAAATTTATTATTGCATCGATATTTATATTACTTACCATGTTTTTCACGACGTATGCGAATAAGAAGTCATCGAATTGTGAAAGATATAATATAATTGCATCTGATTTACAAGTAACTTGGTATCCTGATCCCGTTGGCTATGTTGGAATGGCCATGACTTTTACTGTTAATACGACACTAAATAAACCGAGCACATTTAATACGAAATTAATGTTTTCATTTAATGGTGATGATGGCCGTATCGTAGGTTTTACCGTACATCCAGTTGAACCAAACATAATCGCTATTCAAGGTGATTACGATGTAATTGTACCAGCTTTTATACCTCCTAGTTATACAGTTTCAGTTTCGGTGGGAGAAACGAGTCAAGTAAAGAACTGTATATTGTTTCACCGCTCAACTCGTTCAGGATAAATATAAAGTTTCTTTCTTGATGACCGAAATTTTTTCTTTTAATATATTTTCACTGATTATTGAATTGTTATTTTTTTTATAATTACCAGTATTTTTTGTTTTTATTTTTAAATTTTTTACTTTTACAATCTTTTACATTCAATCACACCACACATTTATTTATTATTGTGTAGAGCGAATGAGTTTTAGCCAAAAAGTCAATAATCAAATAAACTGAATCTAAGTATCATACAAAGAGTGAATATGTCATATAAAATGATAAACTATAATAAAAATTATAATAAAAAAAAAAACATAGAAATTTATTATAAACAGGGTGTGGTGACATATTGAAGTGGATATGTTTTCATCTGTCGAGAGTTTGAACTCTACTGGCAATAATTTAACTTGAATTATGAAACTAAATATTATAATCAGTTGAACCATAATCATAGTAGCTTGTAACTTTGGCTATATCATTTTATTTTTGGAAGTATAAGTGTATAACTCAAAAGTCAAATAAAGAAGTAGTTGAGGTGTATAAAACCAAAAAACCAAAAAATTGGAAATCTGCATAGAAGACTCGTGTAGAGTGATAGAGAAAACTGAATAAAAGGAATTATATGCTAATTAGATCATTAGTAGGGTACCGAAATTCGGTTCAGGTTTATTTGGGTTTGACCAAACCCAGACTCAACCCAAACTCAAACTATAAATTTTATTAATTCCGAATCCAAACAAACTCAAACTTTATTGTAAGTTTGATTAGTGTTTGGTCCAAAGTTTGCAAACTAGTTTTATTTGAATATAAAAGTGAAGCTTAAAACAAGAAAGAACAGAAGGAAACGTCCAAATATAGATATGATTTTCATTCTCCGTTACACAGATCACTCATTGTATCGACCAGTCAAATATCA